ATGATGTCTGAAATACTTGATTTTTGTAATAGTGAATGACTGTGCTATACTTGAAAACAAATTATTTCCATTTTCTTTTTTCCATTTATGTAAATTGAAATTTATCAGAGTTGAACTCGGATGGAGCAAGTCTTTTTTCAAATCACTTTTAAGTTCTTGAGCCACACTTCCACCCCTCTCCTCTTCCCCGAGTCTCCTCCAACAACTAACACCAAGGTAAGACCTACTAGGGATGGGCCAAGCCCACAAGAGAGTGGCCTCTGGTCTCAAAATAAAAGCAGGTAAGTAACTGCATGCTTACATTCCCAGACCTGAGTGGTGAGAGCTGTAGCGAGGTGGCACATTCATTCACAGTCCCTGGATGCAAATGCTGTGGCCCTGTCAGCCCTGCATCCTCATGCTGTCTTAGGGGCTGTGATAAGCCATCAAAGCTTCACAGAGAAGTTTCTGTGGCAGAGGCTGAGAACCCAAACGTCCAACTGCTATGTACTATGAATATTTGCCATTAGCCATGTCAGATATAGGCTGGGTGCTTTCCTAGTTTCTGGTTTTCTTCTCCTTCAATGCTGCTGAAGTGTTTGGGTTCGGGCAGCCAGTCTGTTCACTGTCAACTCCCACTATTACTATTTTCCTTAAAAGTAATATTAAAAATGCTTCTACTTATCAGCGCATCATGCAGAGCCTGCTGGGTTTATATTTCCGCCAGCAGAGTCACTGCTGCTGCCATGCACTTGACACTCCCTTGCTGTTCACTAGCAACCCAGGTAGGCACAGCACTGCCTTTGTCTTGGAGTGATCCATTTGTGTAAATGTGGGTTTTGGCAACTCAATCTGCAAAACTCAAAAATAGGAGTTCACTAAATGGGTAGCACAGGATGCTGCTGAATGCAGAGCTGTAACTGAAACTGTTTAATGAATCCAGTGCAGGTTCTCCCCATCTTTGCTTTCTAAAAATCAAATAAAAGAAATTAAGAAGTTTTATTCAGCCCCTGCTTTAGCAGCATCTGCCTCACCTGGGGGAAACAAGTGTGACTAAGGTGGTAGACAAAGAGCTCTTCAAAAAGGATTCAGGTACCTAATGTCAGTTTAAGATGCTTCTGTCTAAACATAGATCCCAAAACCTTTTCTGTCCTAGGAGATCTGAAAACATAACTCCAGGCCTTAGCAATTATATCAGAGCTCTGCATTAAATGGTGGTGGCTGCTTTTTATCTGCTTATTTTTTGAAAGGGGAGATAAAACCAGTCATATCTCTTTACAGCCCAAGAACATTTGAATTCATGTATCTCACTTCCCTGGAGAATGTCCTAAGCAGCTAACTAGAGATTATCCTGAAGTGGTGCTGTCTTTGTTACAACTCTTCCTGGCTCAAAGTAATTACATGTATAATCATGAAGGTACAGACAAACACAAAAGACTGATGTTGCCTGTGTGGTGGTGAAATGCTCATTGTAAGCTGCAGTTCTTACTCCAGGGAAGTTATGGTTTATTTATTTATTTATTTATAGGAGCCTAGTATTCAGTGACTTGTTCAGAAAGGCACAAAGCTTACTGAATCTTCATAAAAGCTTGTATTAATTCAGATCCAGCATTTGGGTCCCTAATACATACACATACACATGGACTCTAAAGGCCAAGCTCTATGATATTTAACTGAGCAAAATATTTTGCAGATGGCTGTGTTCCACTGCAAAGCAGGCACCTGCAGTAAGCACCAGCCTGCATAATAGAAAGGAAATACTCTTGTTGCCTGCCCGTAAGCAGGTGCAGCATCAAACAGGGATGTTTTCATAAACACGGTGTCGTGCTTCTCTGTTGCATTTGCGTCATTTAAAGAAAAAGGATAATCTCATTGTCATCTTCTCTGCTTCCAGCTTTCTCAATTATTTTCACTGATTTCACAGCAGGAAATGCTGATGCTGTGTTGCAACACGTAGCCCAGGCTGGAATAGTAATTTTGTCTTAAATACTCAAGGTAGAAAACATATTCCATGAACTTCTTGCCACCTAAAGTGTCTCGTTAATCGTTTTTTTATCAGTATCTTCAAAGTTTTCTCAAATTGGTTTATACAATGTATACTTTTCCACCATTTTTTTCAATAACATTTTATCCACTATTACACCATCTGCCCCTGGAGTGCAAATAATTACCCCAAACCTGAACCATTCTTGCATATCTATGGGAAGGTAATCGCCAAAAGCAGCTGCTGAAACCCTTGGCCACCAAGACTGAGTGTGCTTAACTTGCTTCAGACATGACTGGGAGACTGCCTCCAGTGCCATGGGCCAGGGAAGGGGGCATCCAGTCTGGGAGAAATGGAAACAACCCGGGAGGCTTCAGACAGTTTTGTCCACTGAGGCTGAAGGAAGAAAGAGATGAATCAGTGACTGCCAAAGAGAAGACTCATTTACCTGCACCATCAGGGAACGAGAGAGGTCTGCAGACTACAGGTTTATGTGATGCACACAATCTGTCATGTGTCCCATGCTACATGCCAAAACACTATTCAGAAGAAGGAGTTTGAAGTTGCTGCCTTTTGATCTGGACCACATCTTGGCCCCTAGAAATGTAGCTTTTGCATTTCCGTCCTGCTAAGAAAATATAGTCCTGGACCTGCTAAGAAAATATAGTCCATCAGACAGGTGGTTGTAACCTAAAGGGCGAGGACAGGCATATGACAAATAGCTTGATTTCAGCCCTGTGCAATTTCAGCCCAGTGCAATTTTGCTGTGGATTTACTAAAACAGTTCCCACTCAGGAGTTTGTCCATTGGAATGCCCAAACACACCCTCAGAATCTCTGTCTTTCATGGGCACCTTGCAACTGAGATCTGCCTCCTCCAGATCTGTTGTCTTGATGGAGCTGAGCATAAACTGCATGATGTGGCTGCCCTCATTTCTCTCTTCAAGATTCAGCAGCTGTTTTTCTAAAGAGCAAACCTTTACTTTTTCCAAGTCTAGCCCTTCTGCCTTGGAGAAGTGCCCTTAGAGCTATGCCACCTTCCTCAGAGTGTTTATGTCCTCTCCCCAGGAAAGGATTACAAATTACAGCATGAACACATCTTTTAAAACACACAGCCTCTTATTAGACAGTGTTTTTAAGCAAAACAGCAGGTGGGCTTGTTAACTCCATCTGCCACTCTTCTCATGGAGTGTATGTTTTTTAAACAAACTTTAATATCCTCTACTAAATTAAAGAAGGGTTTTCAACACGAACACCCTGACGCATAATCACGTATGTGCCCTCTTTATAAAAACTCCCCACAATAACCACCATCTGCCGCTTTCTTGGTAAACACTGTGACATTGTGTCATGAACTCGATTACGCAGATCACTGGGGTGGGGACAACTGGTTGCTGCTTTTTAAAAATAACTGTTGAAATAAAGCTCTGCTTTAGGTGCAGCAAATCCATTACTGAATGCTCCTCAAAGAGAGTGGGCTCATTTCAGCCAGCTGTGTGCGTGTCCCCTTACGTCAGCGGAAAACTGCCTGGGCACAGCTAGCTTGTTTCTTATTGACTTGTGTAATTATAGGCAAGGTTAATAAGTGGCACCAGTTACTGCAAAGGCTACTCCAAACACTTATGCTGCATTCTATCTTTGGCCAAGCCTGTTGAGAAATGATAACTTTCACCAGATCTGCTTTTGGGGCAAATGTTCTCTGTGGTAGGGGACCACATGCCTTGGGTTTGGTTTTAGAAATAGATTAATTTATTTAGGAAAGAAAATGCCAGCCTGGAGGGCTGAGACACTGCTACTACAGGGGAGAAAGAGAATTCTGTTTACATTAGGGGAAAATTTGGTGACCCCCTTGAAATCTGAGGTTAGAAGTCCCTGGGGAAAATAAGAAGGCAAGTGGGACTCAGAATTGGTGAGAAGTGCTTAAATTCACTGAACAAAGGCATTGGACAAGATATAGAGCATGTGAGAAAACCATCATTTAAGAAACAGGGTGGGGGTCACTCTTCCATCTCCTACGAAATCACAGTTTATTCATTAAAGAAATGGTGGAAGCTTGAAAGCTAGGAAGTCCAAAGTTAAGAGATGCTTGGTTTAGTTTGAGCCTTTTTAGAGATAAACAATTTGAAACAGTTCTTTATTGTACACTAGGTGTGATCATGCCGTGAGCAACATCTGCCAAGTGCGTGAAGAAAGCATCTTTTAGGAAGGGCAATGACTCTAGAGGCAATCTATATTGCAAATCTAAGAGGACAATCATGGCTATGATTTCTAATTTATTACTCTCTGGAAAACCTACAGGAATCTACTGTGTTACACCAGATAGTAATCAGAAAAAAAATTCATCCTTTTCCAAAAGTATTACTGGCAGTTTCAGCCTGACACTTCAGACACTATGTGCTTGGCTTATTCTATGTTAATAGAACATATGGGTCAAACACTGTCACACTGTGTTGGTATTAACTGTAAACTGATGTTAGGATGATGCACCTGAAGTGACACCTGGGAAGTGTCATAATACCTTATTTTTTTCTTCTCATTCTGTCCCATCTTCTTTTCCCTCCCTACCCAAACTGTCCTGCTGCCTCTTACTGGTGTTTTGGTATTAACTGTAAACTGATGTTAGGATGATGCACCTGAAGTGACATCTGGGAAGTGTCATAATACCTTATTTTTTTCTTCTCATTCTGACCCATCTTCTTTTCCCTCCCTACCCAAACTGTCCTGCTGCCTCTTACTGGTGTTTTGAGCAGCTGTTGTTAGGGGAAGGAACCCACTCTGTTTTATCAGGGGCCAAACTGCATGATGCACACAGCAAATCTCCTGTTGACTTTAATGGAAGAAGTATCAGTCCAGAGCCTGGCTGTCTTCTTTTTGCATTGTTTTTGGGGTTTTGTTTTTAGTTTTGGGTTTTGGTGTTGTTTTTTGTGGGTTTTTTTTGTTTGTTTTTTTTTTGGGGGGGAGGAAGCTTGTGGTGTTTTTTTGGAAGGGTTGTTTTTGTGTGTGTTTGTTGGGGTGTTTTTTTTCTTCTTTCCTCTGTTCTTGATGGTTTAGGGTTTCTTTTTGGCCAAAATGCAATAGCACGCTGTAGATATCTATCAATTGCATTCATTAAGGCACAGAGAGCTTTCTAAAGTTCCCATGACCTGTTTATTATTCAGGAGGTGTCTGTGTTTGATGTGGTGGGCACAGATTTGTTCCACCTGTTTGGTTCTCAGCTGAACTCCACTGGTGCAAAACTGCAGCCCATTGTGCTAAGCACACTGGTCTCTTGGCAGGTTCATTGTGAGTAAATGGTATGTATCCCTCTAGCTGAGTAAGACCTTGATGAACTTGTATCAAAGGATTTTCTGAACTCGTTTTAGGAGCATGATGTGAATTATATAGAGCAGGTGTGAGTGCCAGAGGAACGCGGAGGTTGGTGTCACACTTCACAGCTGAAAGCCACCCACCATCAAGGCTGCTTTTCATGTGCTCTGCCAATATGAACCCTGCTGGAAACGGAAGTCTCTCTCAGGCTGTATGTAAGCCTGAAGGGACAGAGCAGCCTTTTGAGGGAGGAAATCAAAAACATTGGAAAAATTCCTGCTTCAAATCAAGGTAACTTTTAATGACTTCTAAGTCAAGACTGGATTGAAGAAAAAAACCATGATTTACACAAATGCTCTCCCTTTCCCTCAGAGTAAGAAAGATGCCTTCCAAGTCAAATCAGTTTCATCAGTCCACCACAGGAAAACAGAAGATGACCTTGTGGAGTGAGCTAGTTACAATTCTTATAGTGTGGCCCTACCTTCTGTAGGAAGGGGGTACATGGTTTTGTATTAGGCAGTGAGAGCGAATTCTTTAGGGTGGCAAACAATTGTCTTGACCAGGAAACAGAACCATGCCGTGTGCCCTCTTTTTTCCTTCTTCTAGGAAGCAGTGATGCTTGGATGTGACCCTTTTTGTGCTATAGGTACTGGGTTAGAGCTATCCAACACCTGGACTCCTTCCTCCTGGAGATAAAATGTTTGACAGTGCCTTAAGGCTACAGGTAGAAGGGACAGCCTGTGACTTCCCTTCCAACAGAGCTCCAAAGCCACTACTAGTGACAGAGCTTTTGAAGGTGTGAAGAAAGAAATTCATAGTGATTGTGACTCTTTCCTTTAACAAAGCAGTTTTGAATGGCTCCTATTGGTTAGACAAGGTTTATATTGTACACATCCAATAATATCAGCTAGCAAGTTATCACTGTGTTTCTCAAGACACCGATTTCTTAATTGTTGTTCTTCTGACAACATGTCCCTGGGTATCTGGTGTTAGATGCTACAGAAGACACCTAAGCTTCCAGCAGAAATTACAGTGACTTACGGTGACTCTATCTCTGGACCAGAGCAAAATCATGAAATAAGTGTTTTGGGTATTTCTGCTTTGTGAGCTGCGCTGGTTAAGTATTGGATTTTGTATCTGTTTTTTTGTTTTTGTTTTTTTTTTTTTTGTAAACTGAGTTGGCTCTTCTGTATCGATCCTCTGTTGAGGAAAGGAAGCCCCAGGAAAATACTGCCATGAAAGGTTTCTGTGCTGTAGTCCCACTAAATTAAAACGGAGGCCCTTCACCATGGAAATGTTGTCCCTCCAGGAGGAAGTTTCTCTAATTAAATCGGACCAGTTCCAGCACGTTTTGGTGAGCAGGTCTTTGCCCTCTTCCTCAAAGGGAGTTAGGAATAGGGGCTGCCTACAGTAGTTCTGACATAATGTTTTGGTTTGGGGAGTGGAGAAAACAGAAAAATAGCAGTAGCAGGAATGTAGTAAGTTACTAACAGTGATGAAAGAAGTCTGAAAGACTGCCATACAAACATAACTTCCTGAAAAGCTAGATAATTTCTTTGCTATGTTGGCACACATCTCAAAAAAGAATGTAAGCTTTCTTATATATTTCTGATTTACTTAAAAAAAAATAGGGAAGGTGGACTACAGTGTTACCCAATATCAGCACACTGTATGTAATTCTAAGGCAGTGAAGTTACAAAATTCAGAGGCAGTTTGATTTCAGTTTTTTAGAAGATATTAAACAATACAGTGTGTAATAACAGTTGCTACCTATGAAGGGGAAGGAACATTTTCTGCTAGTTCTTGAATCAAGGATTATATTTGCAGAAGTGACCTTGGTCAAGGCTTTTCACAGCTGTAACGTTCTAGGTCACCTTCCTAGTAGATTTGGGTTCTGCTGCTGTAAACTATTAATGCCTACATATGCAGCCTCACATGCAACAGTTAATGTTTGAACAAAGCCTTCTGGCTTGATCAACACCCCTCACAATTAGCAAGTAATTTAAAAAAAAAACAAAAAACAAAAACAAACATTTTTTTTTCCCCACTTTCTCAAACCAGCATAAAATCCCTTAAACCTTATTGCTTAAATAATGCAAGGGAAAATCTCAGGTAATGCACTAACATCTCCAAACCAGAGTTAATCTTTACAATACACCTTTGAGAAATAATCTCCTTTTACCACTTTTCAGCAAGCAGGGCTAGCTTCAGCTCCTAGTAGGAAGAACAGGGCTAGCTCACAAGCAAATACTACACTGGCAGCAGAACAGGACAAGAAGCAGAGCTGGGTTAACCAAAACTACTCTTTGACTTCTCTGTCATCTTGATTTGGCAGCTTGCTTTTCCCTTTGACCAGAGTCCATTGTGCAATACATCATCCTCTTACTCTTTGCAATCTGGAACTATAATGAAGAATGTGCTTATTCTTTGATTAAAATGCTTCCAGCTGGGTTAATTTGAAAGAACACAATGTCACAATGGAGTCTAGTCAATGAACTAGCAAAAGAGGGATAACAGAATAGCAAAGTTATTGCCATGAAATAAGTCTTACTTGACACCAGTAGCAGTCTTGGGATGGTAAGAATGATGACTCCAGTTCTCCTGGTACGTTATTAAGGAGTTAAGAATAGGGTAGCAGAAAGGACTCCAGGGTGAAAAAGGTGAGAGCTACGGTTTGTCCAAGCCAGCATTTATTAGCCAAATGACCTGCACAGGACTTGTAAGACCATAGGTGAGTCAAAGGACTCTTTGGCAGTAAATGCTTGAGGAGGGTTAGATGTTAAAAAGCAGACACAACAGGCTCTTCATTTTTCCCTCTCCTATGTCATGTGCCACCTCCGAAATCAAGTGTGAATAGTATTTGTCTGCATTATTTTTCTAGTAGCCTCCTCTCTTCTACCAGTCTCCTCCTATGTAAATGCTTTTGGGTGCACATTTCTACTTTGATGATGAGACTAAGCACAGGGAGCAAGAACAGAGGAGAAAGCTTTTCTTAGCCAGTCTGCTGCATTCTGAAGTTCTTTTTTCATATGAGGGTGGCATGGTTATGTTGCTGCTTTCTTTTTACTTCAAATATTGAGTGATATCTGTGATGGAAATCACAGGAATATGATGATCTGTGATGACTGCAGTGTAGAAGGAATGTACTGAAAATGCCTAATAAACTCCTTACCACCCAGCAGTTATGCTGGTACAGCACAGAGGGTAGCTGAGGTGCTGGTTAATAAAACTGTTATTGAAGTAATTCTAAAATTTTTCTCCTACTTTTCTGCCTTTTTCTTTTTTTCTTTTTTCCTGCTTTTCTGCTGGATGGTATGAGAAATTCCTAATTGTCCATGTCATGGAAGGGATTTCACAGGAACAAAGGAGAGGGAAGAGGAAGTCTAGAGAAAATAATCTACACATCTGAGCATGGAGTCTTCCTTTGAATCTAAACAAATGTTATTTTACCTTTTCTTTCCTATAAATGTGAAAGTTTTAGGACTGTAGTTACCTGAAGTGTTTTCCATATTCGTAGGTTTCATCTAAGGAGATTACTAACCTCTTGATCCTATGACCGTGCTGCCATATGCCAGCCTCTCTGTCACTGCAACCATCTGTGGTGATGCATGCTGAATTGTTCTCCCTTGCCAAAGGATGTGGAAGGCCACTGACAACTCCTGTGTTCAGCAGCAGGTGCTATACTGAAGAACTTGACAGGCTTTTCTGGACACAGTGACACAAAACCAGCATCAGTGACAATGCAGTGACAGACCATTCAAGAAAACTGAAAGCACCTCTTGGAACTGGAGTAGGAGCCTTGAAGAGGGCATGGAGCTCTGATTTCTGCTTACGGCTGGGTTACGAATTTTTGAGAGATTACTTTACTTCCCAAAACGCATTCCAGGAGACTATTCCAGTCAGTCTTACCACATTTGTCAGAAGTGCAAAATAGCACATTTAGATATCCAGTGTCTCCTCTTCCTGCTTTCCCAATAAGATCCTTATGAATTGTGCTTGTTCCTTCTTTTCCCCTTTTTCAAGAGGTAAAAGCTGTAGATGTGATGAAAGTTCAGACATGTAAATACTCAGCAAAATTTAGTTCCCTGCAGGAAGAAAACCTGGCTGTCCTGAATTCCTCGCTTCTGTGCACAGACTAGTCATTTACAACTTCAATATGCTTGTCATAGTTACTGTGTTGATTAAGCAACACCTGTTTGCTAATAAATATTCCAGTTGTTCTGAAGTATAAATCAGGGAGAGGGAAAGATTGCAGATCATACCTTAAAGAACTGTCAAAGAATATGGAAAGTCTTTGATGGCCTCTTGAACAATGTAATATATGCTCACATTTTGATTAGAGTAACAGTCTACTCCCAAGCAAGCCAGAAAGCAAATTGTACCCTAAAGAAAGGTGTGTTACAGAAGACCATGTTCTTAGAAAGCAACAGTAAGCAGTGTCTGCAATATCCAGTAGATGAGATGTTTCTAGGATCTTGTGTCAACCTGTCTGTGAAATCAAATTGAACCACTGGCTCCCAAGGAACTTATAATGGGAGTAATGTTCCCATCTAAAATACTGCTTTGTAAACCAAACATCACTAAATGCATATTACATCTCCTTCATCACTACTGCTAGGCATCCCAGCATACAATTGATAATTATAGCTGTACTTATTAGTGGGATTTTAGGCAATGAAACATTAACTCCCCAATGTCATTTACTATGCCAGTTATGAAATCAGTATCAAATTAGTCACATTTCTGTCAGTGTTTAGTTACTCTACGCAAAGAGATTCTCTTGAGCTCAGTACCCTTGTCATTGCTAACTGAAGCAAAAGGAGAAATAAAATTGTCTTTCAGCCAGTCTGCACTGACATATGGAGGAGGTATATTCTCTTCCTTCTGACTAGTAATATAGGATGAGTAAAGAACATGCATGTTTCTGGACCTGCTGTACACATCCAACTTAAGATGTGTGTATGTGGCATGCCTTGAAATCTGACCTTTGCTTCCAGTTGATTTGTGGTATTTGGTTGAGTCAGCAGAGGAGTCAAAATGAGTCGCAACTGAATGGTTTGAGTAAAGGGAGCCAATGGTTGTGCCTGGTGATACAGTATGAGAAATGGAAAGCAATTCAGAGTAAACTCGGGAGATTGGCATTAAAACATTGAAAGTTGCAGCTTATAGACACCAACAGACTTCTGCTAGGCTTGTAGTATTATTCTGTTAGTAATATGAAGACATGTTTTGGACTATGGACAATGTATTAAGTGATAATAATGCTGATTTAATTCTACAAAGTGCTCATTATTTACACTTGATGCACATCTAGTGCCATCTCAAAGGCATATTTGTAACTTAGCGCACTGATCTGCATGATCCTGAACATTCTGAAACCAAGGATGACTGATACAAAATCCAGTAGGCTCTGCAATGGGAAGACATGGAATTGATATGATAAATGGAGCAATTTAATAAATGTAGTTATGTATGTGTGTGTTCTGTTTTCATGGACGATGACATTTTGCCCTGTGAAGAACCTGGCTAAAGCCCAGGCAATACTCGTGGACCGTTTAAGCTCTAGCCCTTTGACTTACTTGGAACACTATCATAGTGTGGTTTTGGACTACTCACTCTAGAGTGGAATTTCACCCTTTGGGTTTAAATTATCACACTTTGTTGCAAAAACCTGGTGAAAAGAGTTTGAATATTACAGAAGTCTTCAAATAATGACTTCCTGAAGCTGGCCTTTTTGCATTTCTTATCTGGCTACATTTAAAGCTGCTGACACTTTTGTGTAAAATTTGGTCCCATCTACTGAAAGAGAAGACCAAATCTGGTGGTGTTCTGCAGAAAACAAGCTCCTGTACCTTATTTGCCCAGGTGATTGTACAACTGCCCATGATAACCTAAGTTGTTCTTGTGGCTGAGCTTTTCCAATTAGCATCTTAAAGCAAAAAGTTTAAGTACATGTTTAAGCACCAAGGATCAGCATCTTCTATTTAATAATGCCTTGGCAGGGGAAGCTCTGTTGGGCAATTTTGTATTTCACAAATATTATCACTGTCAATCCTGGAACCTGTAACAGAGAGAAGTGGAGTATCAGAAACTGGCCTTCCACCACACAGATTCTTTCTTTTGGATTCTTACTATATTTATGCTTCAGGCCTGTAAAGATCAGAGTGAGCAGAGGTAGCAGTGACATTGCAAGCCATCAGATCAAACATTAGTATAACTTCTTGCTTAGCAAAAAAAACATAGGGATTCACACCTGTGGAGTGTAGAACTGAAGGGATTAGCTGCTCTGCTAAATCCCACCCCTGCAATCAACTGACAAAGGCAAGTTCACCTCGTGTCAGAGCCTACAGAACATCTCCCAGCACCTTGTAGCAACTGTAAAGTCTGTAGTGGAAGATGAAATGTAACATAATGCACACCAGCTAAGAACCCATCCTTTTGTCTGTCTCTTTTCTGGGACTTTCAAGATCTATATAATGTTTTGTTCTGGATATGAACAACTTTTGCCACATTGTGGTACCTTACCAAAGAGCACTGGATGCAGTTCTCCACTGTGAGGCATCTGGGCTTGCTATACTATTCATCAATGAGAATCTCAGCTGCCTGGAAATGTGAGTGATGTTTTAATGTCGTGGTGATCTCTTCATCTAAAAGAGATTCTTAGAAAACCCTTCAAAACTGCAAAACTGAAATTTAATATAATCAGCAAGCCCTTAGCATAAAATCCAGATTTTGGTTGCAGAAGTCAAAAGAGTAACACAGCCAAAAAGACACAATGACCAAAGCACTGTCCACTATAAGCCTTTAGGAACAGACAACATTTACAACAAAAAGATACTTTGACTTTGCTTTAAACCAGAAATAATTCTTCTAGTCTTTAAGATCCCCTCCATGCTTTTAGATGTGGCGGGTGGGAGTGGGCTGCCTCTAAACATGTAGAAGCAGAAGAGCTGAAGCTGAGAGGTTCAAAAACTATTCTGCATGGCTATGGAGAGCTGCAGGGAGGACTTCATCCAAAAGGAAGGCAAGCAGCGTTAAGGCACATCTCCAGTGCACACCTTACCCTGGGCAAGCCTTGCAGTTAACAAGTTTCCAATACCCTGCCATGCAGACTGGAAAGGAGGGTGAGTGAATGCAAGGCAGCTCTAAGTCTTGGGCAGCCCTCCGGAAGAGGTCTGGCAGAAGTGGCTGGTGGCTGGTGCTGAATCACTCCACCCTGGCAGCACAGCTCTCTTCAGCTAGCACCATCCGGCTCCTGAGCAGCGCTGGCTTCATTTGGTAGCTCTGGTTGCAGGAAGGTTGCAGCCACAAACTCCAACTTCCTCCCCAGACAGTCTGTCTGGAAAGCTCTGTGCCAGGGTTTGTGCTATCTCAGGGGTTCAGGCCCTAGTTAGGATTTAGTTACTAACACATTTGTAATACTGATGCTACTAGTACATACAGTTCTATTGTGCTTTTTACAGACACTGTGTTTGTTTGCTCCTACATGACCAAGTAGAAATAGAAAGGGTTGTTTCTGGGTTTTGTTTTTTTTTTTGTTTAATGTTACATAGTGAGAAAGAGAAACCAATGCTTAGAACCTTTTCCTTACTGTTCTGACCCACTGTGCTGCTTTACCACAGAGGCTGACTGAAACAAAGACCTTGGGCCAACGTGTGTTTCACCTCATTTTGCAAACTGACCAAGTTCCTCTTTCAGCTGTGAGGTAGTATGTGTAGAAACGCTGTGAGACCAAACTGTTAGCTAATCCTCTGTTCTGGAATATGTCTGACAAGCGGGTAGAGTAGTGAGACATTTTCCTCTTGTAATCTGTTTAAGTAAACGAAATTAAATCTTTTCTTGGCCAGCTTTAAAGATCAAGTCATAAAAGCCTGGAATAGTTTTGTTGTATACATTTCCCTTGGAAAGTATCTGCTTCAGCTTTTCTCTTCGTCAATCAGGTCCAAGGCCTCCATTAGAGAATAGTTTATTCCCAGCTCCAGTTAATATTTTTCAAATGTGCTGTATTTGTATACATTAATTCCTGCTCTCTCAACTCACAAAGATTATCTGAGGACAGGGCAGCTAATGTCTTACCTGAAAGCTGACAGATTTTTCCTTATGTCAGAGTAGGGACAGGAAAACTACCTGCAGAAAATAACTTATTAAATTAGTTACGGTCCTTTCTCTTCTGTAAGACTCTTGATCCTGTGGGCTCTTTTGCCAAGTCATGGGTTGTTTAGAAGTGGGTTCATTATCCAGCACACATTAAAAGCAATCCCATTTAAATCCTGATGTCTTTGGGAAGCTTGTTCACCTTCATTTTATTTTACCATTTCTGTTATGACTGCTACCTGCATGCAGTAATGGGTTCCTTACTAAGCAAGCACAGGGTGAGGAAAATGTTTGTGAGATGGCCTTTATCATCTTATCAGGACTCGAATTATTTTTAGGGCAGGGCCATAGTAACTGGTACTGTCAGAAAATAGTATTGTGTAAGCTGGGAGCATTGCCATTGCATTCTTTTCCACTTTGGGTCAGATCCTGCTTTTCCTAGCAGTCGTTAAGCTTGTATTACCTTCTTTTTCTTCCGCTACTGCCGCATGAAGCAAGGACTTAAGACAAACTTGCATAGAGATCCCTCTAAAAAGTTTTGAAAGAATGCTGCTACTTTAACTATTAGTTCTCTCCTTCTCCTACAGGTATCTTAGTTTTCAGATCACTCTGCTTATGGCTGTGGTCTCCGTGCACAGCATTGCCAATGCTGGCTGAGGGGGATGACCTGTAGGAAGAGTGTGAGATGATCATTTTCAGCATAAGTGCAGCTTTAGGCATACTTAAACCAATTGTGAAGCTGCACCTCTAATTAGGGCTTTGGACAGGGAGCCTGGCCCTGAATGAGTGTATTTGCTTGCAAATTACCCCTGACCTTTTTCTTTAAGGCTTTTCTGTGCAAGCAGGTGCAGATTATTTTCACACAGTTCAGCCTGCACTAATCCTTAAACAAGGAGCGCAGGAGAATGAAATGCAAAAGGCAGAGCTTCTTCTCTATGGTGCAGCCCCCCACAGATGTGGTCACACTGCTTTCAGACCCAGGGTAGCAAAAGGGTGTTGCACTGTGCAGCCTTCTCACCTAGAGTCTGTACCAACTAGGTGCTCTGTACAGCCAAACAGCAACATTTTCCCCTCCTGAAAGGAGGAGCTTTCTCACAGCAGATCACAGAGGTAGGCTGAGCCCTGACATAGCGATAAGGTCATCCTTGGAGTGAGAGAGCACACTTCCTGTCCTCACCTGAGTTTTTCACTGTTCTAAAGACCACTGGGTATCATGACAGCCCACTTGGAAGGGGCCGGAATAGTGTTCCTGCACAAGGTGTTGCATACTGGCTCAGTCAAGTACCTCACCTTTTATTTTACTTTTAACCCCACTTAGGATTTTTAATCATAGAGATCTTACAAATCTAGTATATTTCTCCTACCAGTGGTATTAAATTGCATGCAAAGCACTGTGGGCAAGTAGCCAGAATGATAACGAAGCCACCTTGAAAGAATTTATCTCTGGCAATACTTAATACTTCTTGTTGTTGTCTATCTGAATTTTCCAGTGTATTTTAAACTGTCAGTGAATTAAACTTTGCAGGTAAGATTATCTCTGTTTTCCAATTAGAGAAACCAAAAACCAAAGGAGTTACAAATAGAATGTGGATAGCTCTTTGTGTTTTGAGTATGCTTGTGGCGGTGCCAAAAATTTTAAGTTAACCAGTAAATTAAAACCAGGACAGGAGTCAGATTTTGAATTTCATGGGAATTGTGGTAGGGCTGGAGGAATCAGGGGAGATCCAAAATCAAAAAGATGGCAACACAGCTGTACTTTTTTAAAAAGGGAAAGCAGATGCTCTCAAAGGCAGTATCTGAAATAGACTGTATAGGTACAATGGACAACTGAGTTACATAAATCAGCAATGCAAACATATAATCAAATACTGGGTAAGACCAGATAAAGTGGCCATTACTATAGAGGAACAAAAATAGGTGCCAGTGGCCCTTACTGCAGAAAGGGACTGTTTCTTCCCTAAAGCAACTGAATCTCTAGAAACACCTGTTACAGTTCTACAACACATAATTATAGCTGTCGAATCAAAAGAAGGTATGATAAGATCAGATAACTCCACCCTTCAGAACTGAACATGAAGACCGCTGAAATTGAATTGAAATTTGATATTTCCTCCTTACTTGAACAGGTCATTGAGGGAAGAACCTGCTTAGGATCTGACCGTGGCATTTCAAAGCACAGAAATGATGTGCAGCTGCCGTAGAAGGGAGAAACGTCCTGCTTTGTGATGCTGATGTGTCGCCTCCTGTCTGCTCAAGAGTGCATCGACAGAGCACGAACGAGAGGACAGAAGGAGCTCTGTGTAAGGGTATACAGGTCCTAAATACATACATGCGGGTATTGCTATAAGGGTGCAGGTTGAAGTTACAGATATTTCAACAAAAAATATATATTTTGAACCTGAGTTTTCTTGAACTCTGAATCAGAGAAGAAATGCAAACATGTATGGCAAATGAGATACCCCAGTGCTTAGGACCGTATATAGAAGCTATGCATAAATGCCTATATAGTTCCCAGACAGTAACGTACGTATGTGAAGGGTAAATAAAAATTAGTTCAATGAAGTAACAGATTTCTCTGCCAAACTTCCAGAAACTTCAAAACAAAGAACTTAAAACC